ATTAAAATATTTATCCTTTGGACTTCGCTTTAAACTTTATTTATAGTTAAAATGACTAGAAAATGAAAAGCTGTCTTCAGCTGAAACGCAATTCATGTAATTGATATTTTAAAAAATTGACAAGAATGCAAAATTTATGGAAGTCTAGCAATCGAAAAATCTTAATTTTCTTGTGTGTGCACTGAAAATAACTGTAGAAGGAAAGAAGAAAATTAGGGAGAAAAGTAAGCAAAAATTTGCAGGGAAATTTGGCTGTCAGACATACCAAGATGTTTCAAAAAGTTGGACGCTTTTGAATATACTTTCAGGATACTTCAAAGAATTTAGGTGTTCAAAGAAAAAACACTTGGACGTGTACACCAGCAAATACCATCAATTGAGCTTGTGGTTAACAGAAAAGACAAAAAACGATATCATTGCAGATTAAAGTGAAGAGCGACTATATGGTTGTATAAATTTAAATTACGTTATAGTACATCATATCGTATCATAAATGGAGAATCCCATGATTTTCTCATTCGAATTATTTGAAGATTCAGGAGTTTATCCAGTGATGTATGTGGATGTCACCTAAAGATTTTTTTTTCCTCCTGATGAAACAGCGGCCGAGCGATAAAGTCGCTGAACGCTGGTAGTTCTGTCCGAGGTCCGAATCCCGCGAACGGGCTGGCTGCATGGGCATTTTCGTGGTTTTCCCCATGTGTAACGTGTATGCGAGCCAGTTTCCCTTAGAAAGTCCTCCACGAAGGCATCCCTCCCCTTAGGCAGATAGCCCTAGTGTGCTTTGTCATAATTAAATAAACCAAAACCTCTTGATGAAACCAGTCTTTCCTTTCATCTCATACCTTCAAAATGTTTAGCCTCTAAAGACTGATAAAGGCTCTGACCAAATATTGATGAAATGGATTGAATTGGAATTATTAAGTTACGTCAAAGCAGGGCTATCTGCCTAAAAGGAAGGATGCCTTTGTGAAGAACTTTCTAAGGGAAACCAGCTGGCATACACGGTACACATGAGAAAATCCACGAAAACGCCCATGCAACCAGCCCGTTTACCGGGATTCGAACCCCGGAGTGAACTACCAGTGTTCAGCGACTTTACCGCTCGGCCGTTTGTGGGCCTTTATGAAATGGAAGGCGATAACTTTATTTAAAATGATTGTCAGAAATATCAAGATATTTCGAAAATTTGGATGCTTTTTAATATACTTGCGGAATGCCTAAAGAAAAAGAGCAAGAATAAAGTAGAATGCCTGAAGAAAAAGAGAAGAAAAAATAAATTTTACGGTAAAATTTAGTATTTGTATTTTTTTAAATTTAAAACTTTTTAATCTTATGATATTTGATTCTTACGATTTCAAAAATAAAATATTTGACTAAAATATGAATAACATTTAAGAAGCCAAATGTAGGATAAAATTGTGTAAAGCAATGGGCACAATGATAAAACTGTTTAAAGCAGTGTATGCAAGTCATCCTAAGTTAAAATGTCGCAATCCTAAGTTAAATGTCTCTCTTATTTATATATATCTTTTCTGAACGGAACATTGAAAGGCGTGTTAACTGTGCTTTACTGTATTTTCTCTTTTAATATATGCAGTTTTCAAACGCATCGTAGTCTGGGTTACAAAGTATTCCTCCGAAAGAAACGCAATTCAAATAAATAAAATCAAATTCTGGAAAATTTATATTAATAAATATATTTAAAATGCTCAATTCGAAGGAATAAATAGAAAATTTTAAAACAATTATCTGAAGAGACAATGCAACACAACAATTAAAAAAAAAAAAAATAAAGTTAAGAATTTAAAAATTACCTAAAATAATAACTATGACAAAAAATATATATAAAGAAAACTATTTGAAAAAAAAAATAAACGCTGCACCTTTATTTACGCAGTTCGAATAGGTAAGTAGAAATTTTTAAAACAGTTATTCGAAAAAAAAACCATGCAACTTAAACAATTAAAATGAAATTCGAAAAAGAAAAAATTACTTAAAATAATAAGTTATAATTAAAAATATAATATAAAGAATATTATTTGGAAAAAAGGAACGATGGTGACTTTTTTTCCTCTCACGGGAAAGGAAACTAGGTTGCCATATATTAAGAAGTTCGCCAAGTGAACTATTCTTGGCGCAAACTGACAAAAAAAGTGCCAACATAAATTTGTGAATTTCTCCGTAAATTTCGCTCCAAATTTTACAAAATTTCATATTTAGGCGTAATTTGAGTCGTAGAATCGAAATATGTAAAAAAATTGGTATGTTATTTCAGAAAAAGTCCGATTTTGTGTCAAAATACCTATGTTAGAATAGTGCTATATATAAATCTAATATATATCCTAAGTCGCGCTTTCGAGACATGAAGAACGCAATTTGAATTTTGTCAATCGGCCCAGTAGATCGGGGGATCCCATTTTTTTTTTTTTTTTTTTTTTTTTTTTTTGCATGTATTTCGAGTAGTTCCACATCATTCCATGTTCTTATTTTTGGCATCATTGCCTGCCTTGATATCAAGTCTTTACTAATTATATGAGAGCGCGAACTATGCAAGAAGTCATATGCCACGTATAACCGGACTAGAGGGCACAGTCATCTCTCACACACACAGATAGAGACAAAAACACCTTCTTGGCTTCTACTGCGGAACATATTTTATTACTTAAAAGACATTTTATATCGTTTTATATACATATGTTGGAATCACTGCCATTTCGTTGAATAATTTTCTGTTACGTAAATAAACTGGCGAAAGAAGTTAAGAGAATTTTCATATATGATATACGATCTCCAGCACTACTGGGTAGATTTTAATAAAATCTGGTGTGAACATAGCTTGATATAATACAAACAAAATAAACATCCAACAGTTATAGAATACATGTTTGTGTGTAACACTCGCGGAAGATCGAAGGTCTAAAACAGCTGTTCACAGTAGACACAAAAGAAATGGGTTAATAGAGGGTATGGTCCCCTATTATAGCCATGCAAGCCTCACAGCTTGACGTCATACTGGAAATAAGGTAGTTTATCAGTGCCTCTGGCAACTGGTCCCGCTCATTCAGCAACGCTGTTTTCAGTTCCTGGATGGTTCTCGGAGAGGGTTGCGAGTTGCAATTGCTCTCCCTAGAGCGTGCAGATATGCTCTATAGAGTTGAGGTCTGAAGACCTGGCTAGCCAATTTCATTCGGCGAATATCCTTACTCTCAAGAAATTTCTTCGACCAGAAGAACTCTATGTGGCCTCGCGTTATTATCCTGTAAGATGAACTCGGTGTCCATTGCACCCAGAAAAATGCGAACATAGGACTCCACGACTGTTGTGGACGTTGGTGGTTACTCATTTTTACTGTTCTGATGTGAATTTAACCGATTGCTGCAAGATAACACCAAGAAATTCGCCGAGGTGTGCTAACGAACGGAATTTCGTCTTACCCTCCACGCGCTTATAAAGCCTATTCTTCTGCTGGCTCCGCCCACACACACGTGTATGCCTGCGTATTTGCCGTATAAAATTTGTATTTTTATCTAGAAGTAGTGGTTTTTCCTTCGGCTCAGTTCTTTTCATGCAATTCCATAAAATATACAAATTATTTTAATTTATTTCAGATTTACAATTTCAACCATACACATCAGAAAATGTCAAGCTATGGTTCAAGGAAATACTAAAAGTAACATCCTTAGACAAAAGCTCCAAAATCTAATAAATTATTTATCAATAAACTGCGGCAATTTAAAAGAAGCATAATACATAATAATATTGTTACGAAATGTACAGGTGCAGTAAGATAGCTTTCCCGCAAAGCAGTTTTAGGGTTGCCATAAAATGGCAAGGGAAGGCAGGGTTGCCACATTTGGCGAAAAATTATCCATTTGGCGACGAAATTGGCGATATACTATGAACGGATGGAGAACCTTCTGGAACGAATTCTTACCGGTTTAGCCCAGAATGTTCTCGAACACAAGCCGAAAGCTATATAAACATTGCTGATCCGCAGTCATTTAGTGTGTGCCTCGTCTAGAGTGCGAGTTAGTTAGTATCGAGTTGGTGTCTCGTCTAGCGAGTCAATCCCTGCGGAGTCGATCGAGTTGACAGCCGGGCAACGATTGCCGAGTTTCTCGTCAAGTGCACCGAAGGAGTCTGTTAATGTATCGTGGTTAGTTGCATCTTCGAGAAAGAGTGTTGAGTTCCGGGAACGACTGAACCGAAGAGTCGAGAGCTGTGCTCCTGGTCGTCGAGTGAATCGCGAGTTGTAGCGTGGAGAGTCTCGAGAGTACGTGGAGTTCCGAGAACGACCAAGCAGATTCGGGTGCTCGACTCCGGAAAGCAAAATCGGGTGCTTTGCAGGAAGCTTATCTCCACCGTTATTGCCTGACATGTGAAGGCTGTGTCTCTGATTGTTCCAGCGCGTGTTTATAGTAGATCTCCGACGACTGTAAAAATTGTTATTGGAACTGTCCTGATTATATTGGCTAAATAAAGTGTGTTTAGATACTTCATCAAGTGTCGTCGTTATTCACTTTAAATCTGCAAACCCCGTACGAACGTGAAGGAAGAAAAATAACGTAACAACTGGTGTCAGAAGTAAGAAAGAAAAACGTAACAATTGGCGTCAGAAGTGGGATTTGAGGATGAATGCCAGTGACAAGACCAATGGAATATCTATTAAGACAGCTCGTAACTGCCTTTGCTGAATTCCAAGAAAAGATGGAAGCCGGACAAGAGAAGTTGAAAGCCGGGTATGATGTGTGTGTGTGTGTGATTATGACAAAGCCTCGAGGGCTATCTGCCTAAGGGGAGGGATGCCTTCGTGGAGGACTTTCTAAGGGAAACTGGCTCGTATACACGTTACACATGGGGAAAACCACGAAAACGCCCATGCAGCCAGCCCGTTCGCGGGATTCGAACCTCGGACCGAACTACCAGTGTTCAGCGCCTTTACCGCTCGGCCGCTGGTGGGCTCCGGGAATGATGAGATAAAAGCTGGATATAAAGAGATGACAGCTGAGATCACAGCCGGACTGAAAGAGAGGAAAGCCGGACTGGAAGAGAAGAAATTCCGACAAGAAGAAATAACTGTCGGCCAAGAAAAGGTGCGAGAGCAACTCCAACAAGTGAAAGTGGAGTTTGTAGAAGAAACTGGAGCCATAAAAGAAGATGTGAAGATGACAGAAGCGGCGTCTGAAAAATCGAAGGATGGAGAAATGAATAAAGTAGTTGATGAAGTGTCTGAGAATGATCAAGAAATGAAGGATGAACCATCTAACGAGATTAAAGAAAGAGATCGAAAAGATGAAGAAATGAAAGGCGGGAAAGAAGGTTGTGATTTTCATGTGCCTGAAGTAGAGAGAAAAGAAAGTGAAAATGTGACTGTTAAGTTCAACGAAATTGATAGTGAAATTACGAAGTCGAAGTTATCAAGAATTGAACGATCTGAAAGTGCATGTGATGCAGAGATGGAAGAAGATGATATACAGCTTAAGCAGTGTGCTCCAGTATTGCAAGAAAATTCATCCACAGTGCAAACTAGTATGTGTGCGTCTCATAGTGCAGATTTTGCAGACAGGGACTTGATTCTAAACCTGGATACTTCTGCTTGTAAAAGATCGGATTCTATTCGCGACCCTGGTGCGAACATCAGAACTGGTTCCCAGGAAACGAAGGAAAATTAGCATGTACCATCTGCTAAGAGTATCGCGGTGAACTGTACATGTGATGCGAACAAACTTCAAAGTAGTGAACAAATTTCACTCTTCCTGTGGATAAAAGCGAAAACTGAATTCATACTGCAAAACATACACTTCACATAAAAACAAAAATGCTGAGATCTGGAAAGTTTTGACCCGGGTATTTTTAAAGAAAGACAGAGACTGAAAAGACTTTAATTTGATATAGATCAGATTAATTAGAGATTAGATTTAGTTTTATATTTTAATTGAGACCAATTGAATAATTTAAAATTGTTATGCGTTTAATTTGTGTATATGATTTGTATACTGTAAATATCTGTTTCTTTAGTTATGTTATTATTATAGTTGATGGTGTTTCATACGCTTTGTTTGTATCGAATTATGCTTGACCAAGGGTTGTATGCCCGGGACGTGCAGTCCTGGGAGGGGGCAGTGTTACGAAATGTACAGGGAGGAGATAGCTTCCCCGCAAGCAGTTTTAGGGTTGCCATAAATGGCAAGGGAAGGCAGGTTGTCACATTTGGTGAGAAATCCCATTTGCGACAAATCGCGATATACCGGACGGT